GCGTGCACACACACACACACACACACACACATATACACACACATACTTCTTTGTATTTATGGGTGGCGTATAGTAGACCTACCAGGGGCCATATTCTTGGAGAAACCGACTGTCACTCCCCAGAAGCCATCAGCTGTCAGAAGCCCCTCAGTTAATGATAAGGCCTGGCTTGCGAGGTGGGTCTCTTCTTCCATGCTAGGATGCTGTTCTTATGCAGGTCTTGTGAAGGCGACCATAGCTGCAGTGAGCTCATGGACTCAGTAGTCTTGTCCTGTCCGGAAGATGGTTTCTCTCATGCTGGTCCCAACCTCTTATTGCTCTTAGAAATATTTGCTCTTAGAATATTTCCGCCACCTCTTCTGTGATGATCCTTGAACCTTAAGTGTGAGGGCCATATACATGTACCATTAGTGAATGAGCATATCGTAGACACACTTTGTACTTTGACCAGTTAGGAATCTCTGGGTTAACCACTGTCCACGGAACCTTTGTGTTTCTTTAAATGTCTCTCACAAGGACAGAGAGCGGCACTACTTAATGTATAGTCACAGAGATACAAGTTCAGAGATCAGTTTGATATTATGTCTATTTAGCAAAATGATAACAGTAGGTCACCCCTGGGACATGTGTGCTCCCCAAGCATGGGTTCTTGGCCAGATTCATAGTGCCAGGTATGTGTTTTCCTCTTGTGGAACAGACTTCAAATTCAATGAGACATCAGTTGGTTACGCCCATATCGTTCATGCCAGCTTTGTACCAGTTGGCATATTTCACAGCACTGGTCATTGTGGTGTTCACAGTTGGGAAGGCTACTGATGGTTTCACACCCCCCATCAGCCTACATAGCACATTCCTCTCCTGCAAAATGGAGCCAGCAGAAAGGAAGCTTCTTGGTCCTATTTGACCAAAGTGTGTGGTATATTCAGCAACAGGGTTTTATCCCCAAGTTCTGGTAGCCAATCAAGATCAGTGGTAGTAGCCTGTGTTGTTTTTGGAGAGGTCTCTGGGTTGTTCCTGACCTGTGTAACTCAATGGAAGGCAGCCCATGTCTGACACTAGGCTTTGCATTTGGCATCCTATGGCCTCTGCGAAGAGCATTATCCCTTATGTAGGGCAACTCCAATTAAACTCTTTTATATGAATATATGTATATACTTAGGAATCTTACAAAATAGGTTTCCATATAGCTTTTCTAAATGTCCTGAGAGTTAGTTTTCCTTCCTCCCAACTCCCTCCTCTACCTTCCTCTCCCATTCAAACACAGGTGATATGGAAGGGGAGGGAGGTTTAGGTGGGGGTAGTTTCTTTCTGTAAAAGTTTACTTCTGTAGCTCATTTTTATTGAATATAGCATGCATATAGTAAAATATATAAGCTTAATGTGTACAATTTATAAGCATTTACAAATGCACACAAACATGTAACCACCTCCCACTGCCTTAGAAGCCTTCCCCTTGCACCCACTTAGCCAGTGCTATGTGCACAGCAGTAGGCTCCATTCCTACTTCAGTCAGCATGACTTGGAATTGCAGGCCTTTGAACCTCATGTGCATAAGACCACACAGTACTGTTTTCACCCAGCCGCTTTTAGGTATCATTGCATCTGGGAACTCATTCACCATGTTTGGGTGTAGCAGTTTTGTGTATAGATATATCGTATCCTATTGAATGTATTCTTGTATTGTTGGTAAGCATTTGGGCTGCTTTCAGTTAGGGGTTATTATCAACATTACAGGTATCTGTTGCCTGTGTCCCTATTACCTGTTAGGTGAGAATAGATGTGGGTCATAGGGTGTGGCATATAGTTTTAGCTGTCCTTACAAGCCACTTTTCTAAAATTATAGTAACAATTTATACTCATAGTAGATCGACAGAGGTGAAGTCATTGTTCTTTCTTATGAATTAGCTCTTCCGTTGGGCATGAAAAGATATCTTATTACTGGTTTAATTGCATTTCCGGATGGTTAATGATGTCTGGTATTCTCTTTGCAGCATTTTTTGGCACTCCTTTTAAGAATTGCCCATTCAAGTCTTTGCCTGATTTTTCTCCTTCTTCTTGATTTATAGGAGTTCCTCCAGATAACTCTGCTGTCTGTATGTAGTTCAGGGTCTTCTCCTATTTTATGACTTGACTTTTAACTCTCTTAATGGTTTTTAATGAGAGAAGTTTTAAATTTGATAGATGATGTTTTTCTTTTATGTTGTAGTCAAGAAATCTTCATCTAACACAGGTCTTGAGAACATCCTCTGTATTTCCTTTTAGACATTTTACTGCTTTATCCTATGATCCACCTGGGATAGGATTCTTATGTGGAACTGGAGTTTTATTGCCATAAATCAAAGGACTACGGTCCTGCTCTGTGAGCACTTCCCATAGATCAGATAGCAGTGGTGCAGAACTGG